TTGTGCCTAAAACCAGGTCTGGAGGGGGACACCCAGCTTTACAAGTGTCTCCTTCAGTTGGGCCATTTGGAAACTACTTCTTCTGACATCTAGTCTTATTCTAAATCCCTAGATCACTTAGTTAAGTAGAGGCCATGCATCTGGAAACTTCATATTGCACTAGGAACCCTTTTACCTAAATAGGAGTTTGTGAATTATATTTGTCAAAGCTCTCAAAATCCATGAGAGTAAATGAAACCCAGGAAATAAATTTTCTGTTGCATCTAAAAGAACAGGAGGAAAAGAAATCAGTTGTACTATATTTCACCGGTGTGACTTAGGCATGACTGAAAGAGCCTTAAAAAAATAGACCAGTGTAGTTAATGTCTGAATTGTCAGTGTGGCTGAGTTTGAGAGTCTAAAGCAGCAAGGGTTCTTAATGGAGAGAATTGGTGGTTAAATTGCTGACAAGAAATTGCACTTAAAGATTCAGCAGCCAGTGACTATAAACACTAGGGATGAACATGTCTGCTTGTATCAGTCAAAGACAGCTGCAGCAAACCCCCAGAAAGGTGAGCAATTATTTATGAAATTATGTTTTCTTCAGTGATTCTGAACCGCGATTCTAGGATAAACTGCATGAGGAAAACAGACAATGTCACCAGCCCAATTACCAAGGAGTGGAGAGAATTTTCAAAATCAAGGAATTTTAGTCATTCTTTGGTTAACCTTATCATCCTGAATAGACAGTCTTTTGGGTTTAAAATAAGACTGATTAAATAGACCAGGCCAGCACATTCTAAACTATGCTGTCTGATTTTAATTTTAAAGGCAAGTATCTAACTGGGCAGATCCACAGATCTAAAGACAACAAAGGTGCTCTTGAAAGCATTCACTAATGGTCTGTTGGACTTCCTTTTACCCAAGTTAGTTTCTGGATCATTTGCTATGAGGCTGTCATTGCCTTTAGCTCTTTCATTGTTGCTGCTGTTGTTATTGTTTGTATGTGTATGACATATGTGTGGTGTATGTGTGTGTGTGTGTGTGTGTGTGTGTACACACATGCAGAAGCCAGAGGAGGACATTGAATATTCTGCTTTATCACTCTCTTTGTTCACCTAAGACAGAGTTTCTTACTAAACCAAAATGTAGGCAGATAAAGAAAGAGGCCCCGTGGATCCTCCTGTCTCTGCCACTCAAAGCATTTTTATGATTAAGGGCACCTATTCCCAGGGTTTTACATGGGTGCTAGGGATCTGAATACAAGTTTTTAAGCTTGTGTGGCAACTCTCATACCTTCTGAGCCACTCCCTAGACATAGCTTAGGTTTTAGATGGTTGTTTTAATTTCCCTTGGTGGAGTCATGGACCATCAAGCGATTTTATAATGGTGACCATAGTATGAGCAGCCAAGGACAAGAAATGCTAGATTGCTGAGGTCAATGTACCTAGTGACAGGTCAGGACTGAAAACCTCACTGTCTCTATCAGGTTAGTTTGTGAGCAGGTCCGTGGGGAAACTTTTAAAAAGTTTTATTTCTTTTTCTTTTGAGTGTGTTTGGTCTGCATGCATGTATGTGTGGCACGTGTAAACCTGGTGCTCATGAAGACCAGAAGAGGGCACTGGATCCCCTGGAAATAGAATTAGGTGTGGTTGTAACATGACTGCTGGAAACTGAACTTGGGAACTTTAGAAGAGTAGCAATGTAACTGAGCCATGTCTCCAGCTTCTCTGAGGGATTTTCTTGTTTGTGAATTTATCTGGATGGAAAGGGCTCACCATGGGTGGCACCATCCCGTAGGAGGTGTCCTGGGTGTCTAAAAATCCTCGATAAGTGCACCGGAAAGTGAGCCCAGCCAAACAGTGTTTCTCCAGTTTATGCTGTACTTCCTTGGCTATAAACTGCATCCCTTGGCCAAAGATGATGCTGGTGAAACATGTTAGCAGGCTTACCTTCAGGTTCCTGCCTTACTTCCTGCCTTCACATCCTCAATGATGAATTGCAACCTAGAACTCTAGGTCAAAGGAATCCTTCCCCTCCTTAATTTGCCCTGTGTCAGAGAGTTTTAGTACAACAACAGAAGCCAAACAAGAAAATACAGGATCTCTTTTTATATTGTTAAACGTAATGCTTAAATGTATAAATTTTATTTTACATATCCTTCTTTAATTGATTAAAACCAACAAGATTCTTTTTTATTATTATTAAATGCTTTACAGTTACTTGGCAATGAGCAAAGGGGAAGGAATCATACTTTTTTTTTGAATCATACTTTTATTCCCTAAGATGTAAAATAATCCTAGAATATTAATTAAAAACTTAATTATGCTTGAGTCATGCAGTCATGCATCTTTCACTACTTTGTGTCCTGCATTCTGGGCTTATGATAGCAACAGGTGTGTCCCAGTAGTCAGGCTGGGCTGAAGGAGAGAAACTGTCACAGAAGGTTCAGTGACAATCACCAGCTCAATGGTCTTCATTAACAATTTTGTTTCTAGTGCATTACATGATGTTTCTAAGAGCATTCCTGATTTTTTTTTTAGCACCAAGTAATAATTTTTCTATTTTACTCTAAATTAAAGGAAAAATAAAATTTTGATTATTCATTCCTACTCCTCATTCCCCCCTCCCATTTACATAGAACAAAATGCCAGGGCTAATGAAGCTCAGAGCACGACTCTTTCTGAAGGATTGAAACACAGCTGATAAATTATGGAAAGGGGCCTGGACCTTGGCTCCCAAAGGCTGCAAAGGACTAAGTCATTCTCCCATGCACAAGCTTTAATTACAAAACATGGAAATCCCTTTCCAGGTCTTATAGTGGTGTCTCTGATAGGTAGTCCATGGATTGATAATAACAGATGGATATTTTTCCCCTGAAATAACTTCATTAGTTAATTGTCTCTTTTACACATAGTTTTTTCAGCTAATTGGCACAGCTGCCAGCTGGAGGCGTTAAGGGTCTCCCAAGGAAGCTGATATGTAGGGAGAAAGTCCAATAGTTTCACCAATTCTAAGTGAAACTCCTGATAATTTCACAGGAGAATTTTGTATCTTAGAAGTGAATCATTTCTTCGCATTTTTCTCTTTTATCCTAAAAGCATTACTTGGTGTGGCTCTGTGTTTTGGTGCGTAGTGTTTGATTTTTCTCGACAACCCCAGTCTGTCTTGTAGACAACGGCAGCATTCCGGAGTGCCAACCAGTGACTTTTACTAGACATTGACATTGTCAAAAATCCCTGCAGGCAAAAACTGTTGGAATTCACAGCTGGTCTATAGATAGATTGCTCCTAGAAATGTTGAGGGTGTATATGAGTGATTTGAGGTGCTGAGGTTACAGGCTCCTATAATTTGTGTTTTATGTATTTAACATGAAATACAGAACCCCTCTAATTTTCAAATTCAATGCTTGGAATAATTTAAGAGAGTATATATGTGCATATATGTATAGATATAACTCAAGCATGTCTGAGGTATCAAAAACTACTGCTTTTCAGTTATGACATAAAAATATGGGGGAGATATAATTTGATTAACTAATGCATTTGTAAATCTTTCCAAGTAAAGGAAGTAAAATCAGAAAAATCCACTTTTAGCTACCCAGTAACTATAGATTATTTGAGGATGCCATGGTCATCTTCAGTGTCAAAAGTGTTGGGGAGTTCTTCTCTTCCTCATATAAATAATAGAACCATATAAATAGGTCACCAAATTACATGGTGGGCTCATTTGACATAAGTCTAGGTGCCTTAAGCATTTTAAATCAAAACAAACAAAATGAAAACTAGTGTGACTGAATGAACCAGACATGGAGAGAGTTGACCCAGCTCATCCCGAGACATTCTGCAGAGTTATGGCATCAGGCATGCAGGGCTCATGAAAGAGCTATGGCACCCAGAGACTGAAGTTTCCTGGTCTTTAAAGCTCACTAGTGCCAACCGTTTTCACACGTTAGTGATAAAAGATTTATTTTATTTATATTTGGGTCTGTGTGGTATGTGGTGATGTGTGTGTGTGTGTGTGTGTGTGTGTGTGTGTGTATGTGTGTGATGGTGGTGGTGGTGTGTGTGTGTGTGTGTGTGTGTGTATGTGTGTGTGTGGTATGTGGTGTGTGTGTGTGTGTTTGTACATTTGTGAGCTCTGGGGTGTGATAGTAGTGGTGGTGATGTGTGCGTGTATATGTGTGTGTGTGTGTGTGTGTGTGTGTGTGTACATTTGTATGCTCTGTGGTATGATGATAGCGGCGGTGGTGTGTGTGTGTGTCTGTGTGTTTTCATGTGTTTATAGTGGTGTGTATATGTGTGTTGTATATATGTGTGCAGATTCCAAAGGTCCTTGAGTAGGAAGCAGAGGCATCTGTGAACCGCACAATGTGCAAATTATCTCAGCTGCTGAGACACCTCTCCAGACGCTGCCGTGGTGTGTACTGGGGAAATGGTGTGTCTCTTCTAGCTGACAGTGAAGGGAAGCCTGTGATAATATGAACTGTGTAGACTGAAGTAGTTTTTACAATATAAGGGATATAATATAAAGCTTATATCAAAGGAAAGAAATCCAAACTTTGTCCAGTTTGCTTTCTGTCCTGAAAGACTTTTTCTGGCGGTCAAGTTTGAGCAATCGTACTATAAACGGTTAAGTTTTGACTTTGAATAATTCGCAGTGAGAATGGTTGGGCTTCTCCAAATCAGACCTTTTACCTAAAAGTCTTATGGTGTTCACCATTAAACTTTTTGTGATCATTGTAAGAATTTTAATTTTAGCCTTAAAATACCTTTTTTTTTTGGGGGGGGGAAGGATGTGTTATAACTGCGCAGGCTGCCATTTTTAATCTTTGTGCTTAGTTCCCATTCAAAACAGACTATTTCTTTTATCATGCCGAAATTTAAAAAAAAAAAAAAATGTTTGTGCTCTTTGACATTGGAGCTAAAAGGACTCGGAAGCAAGCCCCGTGAGCTTTGCGTGTGCCTAAGGGGCCTTGCTTTGGGTTTGAGGCCAGCACAAGAGGTTGTTGCTCAACTTACTTTCTGCAGGCTCTTTGGACCTTCGGCCGCTGGATGACTTCCGAAGCAGGCTCCGCCCTGAGGTAAAAAGGCTGGTGAGCTCCTCCAAAGGACTGGTGGGTGTCCTGGACCTGGAGCCGCTCTGCACAGCACTGTAGGTGTTCACGGCAGCGTTGACCATCTTGGCCCCATCTTGCGACACGGGTCTGGGGGTTGAGTGAGGCACTGAGGGAGAACTCCTTGAGAGGCTGCTGGAATGCACAGCGTCATAGGGGGGAGGCCTCTTGAGGCTCAAGGGTGTCAGGGACCTCCCCATGCTGACGGGGGACGGGGAAGTGGAATGACTTTTTGGATAGCCGTGGGGAGACTGGGTCCTGTACAAAGTGGATGGCGGCGGCGGAGGGGATGAGGAGAGCACGGACGCTGTAGGAGCAGGGCCCAAGGCTCCACTCTGGTCTTTAGCATGGCTGGAGCTATGTGATGGCAGTGAGGATGGACACGCTCCAGGTGGCTGCTTCATATAAGACACATTTTCCAACACAGGAAGCTTTGTGACCTCCAGAGGGGTCAGTGGAGACTCATCAGAATTGGGAGAGCAGTGTACGGGGGCTGGTGGGAACACCAGCAGGGGCGGTCTATGAGAAAGCAAGTTGGGGAAGGGCGGGGGTATCTCGCAAAGCCCCTTAGGAGTACATGGTCCTGAAGACTTGACGAAGTCCAGGTCAGGCACCGTGGGCGTAGCACACTGCGAAGAACAACTGTGATGATCAAAGTCACATTTGGAATCATGGCCCAGGTCATCAAAAATGGGGTATTTCATCTCCTCGTACACAGCCTCGCTCTGGTCATCATCTTCCTTCCTGAAGTCTCTGAGGATGTTCCCCACCATCTCGATGTACACAGGCTCCTCTTCTTCGGGGTCTGCAGCGGGGCTGCAGACCTGGGACAGGGATGAATCTCGAGGGAGCGAGGTCCTCCTTGGCACATGCTTTTTGATGTAAGTTTCATCGAAAGATGTACTAAGTTGAGTGTTGGGATTCCGTTTCGGTTTCGGAGGGGGGATTTTCTTTGAATATTCGTCACTGTGGGGTCTTGGCTTGGCAGACACTGAAAGAAAAAAAAGAGGGGTTTTAGGAGGAGTAAAAGAGGTGAATATAATAGGAAAGCTTTCAAATTTGACCCGTGTTTGAGTTTTCTGCAAACCTTTGATGCAAGGAGTAGTCAACTTCGCTTTTAGCGCGAGTCTTAGTCAAACAGAAAATCTTGACGGTTGAATTGTACCAACTCTCAATTTCAGACTATTATCTTCTTAACCAACATTGATAAGTGCATTAGACCCAGGGCTGGTTACTTCTCTGCTTTGTGATGAGGAATGGAACACTTACAGGTTAAGGTTCTTGGATAACAATGTATAAAAAAAATAACTCAGAAGGATTGAGTGAGACTGAAATTGGGGGTCATGGGAAAAAGTGATGTATGTTCACATAAATGGTCATCAAAAACAACAGAAACTGAGATTTTTTTTCTAGTGTGACTGTAACAGCTGCTCTCCCCTTTCATTTAGGAAGAAAAAGTCTTTCTCTGCTGGATTTAATCTCTGTCCTCATGTAAATGAATAGCTGCTGCGAAGATGGATCCAAGACCTCAAAGAAATTGCTATGAACATCTTATGAGTCTACATGAGTTACTCTCTCGATCGCCTGCTACACTTTAGGTAGTTTTTATCTGCTCTTGTTCAGAAGAGATCTTTGGATATCCCAAAAGCTCGCTTGACGTGAATTTATTATTGATGTTCCCCTCTCACATCTGAACTCCCCATTTGTTCATAAGCTTCAGTAACTGCTGGAAACTGGAAACTTGTGACAGATCTTTATAACAATGAACCACCTCCCTCTAGGCTGCAAGTCCTATTCCTGTTCCACATCTTTTAACAGAAAATAAACTTCTGATCTGCATTAAGGCAGATCCAGGTGGAAAATGCCTGCAATTAAAGTCTGGTGTTTTTCATGCAGGGAAGATGCTGGAGTCTTGTTACTGTCTTACCATCTCATTGTATTGACTGGCACTTATAATGGTTGTCCCCTGGTACAATGTGTCAGAACTAGTTGCTTAAATAGACAGTAGTACAGAGGTAAGCTGACATCAGAGTTTACGGGTACCAAACTTGGAGACAGTTAACAAGACTACTCTGTGATTTGCAGATTAAAAAGGGGGTCAAGTCACAAATCAAGAAATGTTGAATTCTCCTTTGCTGTTTTCAAATCACATTGCTTATGATACAAAAGCTTTTCTAACATTTACTAAAATATAGGAATACTTCTAAGTGTTAGTTATGTGGCTGCATCCATTGTGTCTTTAACATGAAGCTAATCAAATATTCTACATTGACTATGTAGTTCATTTGTCTGGGCATTTCACAATTTCATATATTCTCTTCTATTTGCCATGATGATGACTATACTCAGCACAGTCAGCTTTTCAAATAATGTTTTTAGTGCATCTTGACTTTTTCTTTAAATCTTACTCCCAAAATGTTGTATAATTATATATTGCACTCCGAAAGGCTTTTCTACAATGGCTAGTTCCCAAACAATTTATACAGAGAGACTATAATTTGTTTTTATAAGCTTTAAAACACTAGAGCAGGGCAGATACCAACCCTCTAAGCTATTTTGCCATTTCCCAGCTACACATGTCATGTTATTTGCTTTATTCATTCCTATCTGGGTTGCTTCTGTTCTACCAGTCTGTCCTCATGCCACATGCTCATGGTCCATTCTGCCCCACCATGACTTCCTTCTTTCTGGCTTCCTCTCCTCATGGTACATCATCTGCTTCCTTTTCCTCTCTCACCTCCAGCACCATGATCCCTCTAAGACCCAAAGCCCAGGAACCTAAGTCCTGCCTACCTCCCTTCTGCCCATCCTAGGCTACAAGCAACCATATTAACCAATCAGGGATAGTTGGGGAGTGAAGGTACACAGCATCATTTGGGGTATGTGAGAATGTGCTCTTTTGGAGTGTAACCAGATCTTGGGGGGAGGCAGTCATTAGCAATTAAACAAAAGCACCAGACCAACACCTGAGACCAAATTTGTAGTTATTCCCCAAGGAACTAGCCTAGTGGAAGCCTTTATTTTCCTATGTAAAGTGTCTACAGACATAATGAAGTGAAAACTAGCTAGTCAGTTACTGTGTAGAAGGGACCAAAACAACCACTAGCTTTTCCTTCCATTATTCAACTTGGCATGATTCTTATTGCATTGAAAAAAAAATAAATCAGATTATGCACACACACACACACACACAAATCCAAATTGGAATAAAGTAAAGCTATCCCTGAACAAGGCTAACTAAGTACTGGAAGGATTTTTGAGAGAATGAAAACTTCAAAGAAAGTCTATCCAGAATATTCTTTGAAGATTATTTCCTGTTACCTCCAACCACAAGGAATCACTTAAACAAATGACACTGCAAATATATTTCTCTTTGGATGTTGGGTTCTAAAGAGGAGTCTGAGACTGAAGAGCCCTAAGAGTAAGTGTTGAAGCTGAGTCTTGAATTTGGATGTTGCTACCACCAGGATGGTGATCACCGTTCCTTGTGATCTGACTCCACAGTCTCTGATTTATGCCCACACATAGACTGCCTAACTGATCCACTTTCTGGATGCTTGGTGCTTGTCGCTAGCACTCACTTCAACATTCTTAGGCCCCGCACTTCCTCAGCTCCCAACCAGAAGAAGTGATTCTCTGGCTACCCTTTCCAGGGAAGCCCCTCAGGTATCAGGAGGCACGCTTCTTCCCCCTTCCCTTTCCTGATCGGCGGAGAGTGCCCAACTCCAGCAGACTCATATAAAGCTAATAGTCATTTCTCTGCTTCTTCCGAACTAGCGCCACACACTAAATTTGAATTGGGAGAGTAATGATTTATTTAGAGAACAAATTATTAAATAAAGTACAAATAATTGAATCCATTTTCTCAGCATTGGAGGGGAGGTGGTTCCTACACTGTATCTTTATTCCATGAACCCCCGGAATCTCAGAACTCATTTTGGAAAGTAAAATTAGAATCTTACTTATTCTCTAAGGATTGAACTTTGCTCTTCATTTCCCCATGTATCATAGGGTAGATCAATGATAATATATTTCAACCATCATACTTTTAAAGTATATCTATCTATGGAAAAGTTTGAAAATCTAGGTAACATCATCCTATAATTTATTCAACTTTAATCTATTTCTGCTGAATTAAAAAGTAAAGAAAATTAATTCTTGATGTAATTTTTAAAAGCCCTTGAAATAGTCTTTAGCTACATATACAGATGTAGAATTTTTGCTAATTGAAGCCACACACATACACACAAGAAGATAATATGAACTGCATTTCAATTCTCAACGTCTAACTGAATTTAACCATAAGAAAAGGGTGATTTTATCATTTTAAATGAATTTTAAATTGTTTCTAATAAGCCCAAATATAGAAGCAATAAATCCTGTTCAGCTTCAGAACACAAATTTTGAAGCTTAAAATAGTATAATGACAGTCTCATTGAATGAGCAGAAAGTGACATTTTTGAAATGTAGTACCTGAGCACAAAGGTTATGCATGGCTTTCAGTCATGCCTAGATGATCTGTCTTTCACAGTTAATTTTGGAAATTCAGCATGTCCTTTGTCAACTTACCCTTCAGAAATACATCTTTTGTGTGTTTTTAAAAGGGTAATATAAAAATATGCTTTAGTATCTGTCAGTGTACAGAGCCCATGAGATAAAATAGGAACACAGCACAGGTTGTGTTTCTCTCCATGGAAACACTCTGTGACCATAGAATTCCAGAGTTTGAAGGACAGTTAGAGGTTTTCAGCCCAGACATTCATTCATTTAAAGTTTATGTGTATGTTTATTGTTTGTTCTTGGACAATCTCACAGGTCTACATAATGTATATTATCCATTCTTACCCCACACTTCCTGCATCCTTACGTTCCATGTTCAACTACCTCTTTCCCATTAATCTCTCATGTTCGTGTTCATTCGTTTTATTCCTTTTATTTTGTGACTCACTCATTCAGGGCCTTTTGTGTGGCTATGGGTTTAGAACTATCAGTTAGAGCGTTGCTGTGGGCACACAATAGAAGACTCTCTTTCTACATCTCTCTGAATCTATCAATAACCCCTAGTTTAACAGGCAGGGCTCTCTAAACCTCTCCCCCTTCCATGACTGATTGTAGGCAGGGTCAGTCTTGTGTGGATCTTGTGCAGGTAGCTAGAGTTGCCAAACTACATATTGCTGAAAAGCAAATATGAATTTCTTACCAACTATGTTATTAGAGAAGAATATTCCAAGCTCAAGTTAATATTTTATACCTTCAGGGACAAGCAAAGCAATATGGGAATTCATTATTATAATGCTATGTAATTCATTATCATATCTATGGTGTACTGTAATGTATTGTTTTAAATTCATAAAACAAGCAGAACCAAAGTGCTTCATACTTTACTGTAGAGACTTGTTTAAGCAATAATTTAGCCTGGAAATAATGTCCATGCTGTGTGATTCTGGCACAGGTTGATTTTGAAGGTGAGAGACACATTTCCCACTTGCAGGGGGAATTGTGCTCACAATAACTCTCTTCACAACTCACAATTCCACAGCTTTGAGAGATATTTTTATTTTCACAGTCACTAGCTCCAAAATACTATCAACGATTTTTTAAAGATGTTTGCTAAAGAATGAAAGTTGCAATGTCTTTCTTTGGTCTGCTTATGGGAGGAACAAGAAAGCATGATAAAGGCATAGGGCAGATAAAGTTTGAAATTGTAGGGTCCATGCTACCCTTCCAGATAAGGTGCCAAAACAAGCAGAGAACTCAGATTAGCATTTGAGTGGATCCAAATAAACCAAGTCTGGCTACTGGTTTAGCAATGCCTTCTGACTTTTAGAGACTCACAGCTGGGTGGGGCCTTGAAGGATCTTTGGCTTAAAATCGAAGATTGGATTGTAACCCAGCTCGGATTGGCTTGAGATCCATCACTATAGGGACGTTAACTTAAAAATGTTTTTCATTGACTTCTTTTTTCGGTTGATATTCCTGGGAGACCTGCTC